AAAAAAATTGCAGTTGAAAAGTTTTCATCGGGCATTGAATCATTGGACTTTAACGATTCGAATAAAAGTGCCCGTACAATCAATGCTTTTGTTGAAGCGAATACTAATCGAATGATCAAGGATTTCATCAAACCACAAATGCTCAACTCGGATACTCGTCTTGTTTTGGTAAATGCCATTTACTTCAAAGGCACTTGGAAGTATCAATTCAATAAATTGGCCACCCGTAATGGCGACTTTCACATTAATGAAACTGTTAAAAATCGCGTTGAATACATGACCATCAAGAAATGTTTCGATTATGGAGAACTGGATGGTTTGGATGCGAAGGCTCTTGAAATTAAATACGCTGACTCGAACTTTTCGTTTTTAATTATTTTGCCGAATAGTCGTAGTGGCCTGTTGGCTTTGGAAGGAAAAATAGAAAATTATAAGCTGAATGATATTACAAGTCAGATGAGGTTGACCACTTGTAGCGTTACGATTCCGAAATTTAAAGCAGAATTTGAAATCGATCTGGAGAGTGTTTTGAAGACGGTATGCATTGAATAAAATGTTTTCATCAAATACACGATGAAAAACATTAATGGATAATTTAAAACTTCTCCTTTTCATTTGATTCAGTTGGGCATGGCTGAGATGTTTGATACAAAAAGTGCAAATTTTACGGATCTCTTGGAAGCCAATGAGCAACTTTATGTGTCAGATGTCATTCACAAAGCCATCATCGAAGTGAATGAAGAAGGTTCAGAAGCTGCTGCCGCAACTGGTATGCATATCACTTCAAGGGGGATCGATCACACTAATTGCAATCAAATTGATATCTATATAAAACGATTGAAGAAAATTGAAAACAATGCCATGCTTACTATTTCCAGTTGTTCAAAAAATATTTCAATTGCAATTAGAATGAAAAGTTTCCTTCCACCTACCACTTGGTTAGCTTTTTGACTATATTTAACAAAACTCCTTTTTCATTTTCTTTTTCCAAAAAGAAAAAAAGGTAAAGGTGTGCTGTTCTGGACGCCGAATTCCAAACTATACAATATTCCGTGTAGATCATGCGTTTTTGTTCCATATTATTGACAAAGAATCCAATACAATCATCTTTAGTGGTCGCGGTGAAAATTTGAAAACGCAAACTAATTGATGACTCAAAAAAAATCAATCAAGGCTTTTGGACCGAACTTATAATTTAATTATATGAAAAATATGTTTACTCTCAAAATCAATCAAATAATAATGTATTCGCTTAAAAAATAATAATAACGCTAATAATAGGTATAAACTGGTAACATTACACAGCAGGAAATGAAAGCAAGCATTCTGAAAAATAATGAAATAAAGAGATAACATACAGATACACCATATTACAAGGCACTATCAAACTTGTTTAACTGAATGGAATCCATAGTTTTATGCATATCGATCCCATACAAATCTTGATATTCTTACTTTCAAAATAGAACAAAAATAAAGAGGCTTACGAACGCAAGCTAACTTTTCCGCATGGAACCGAAATTTTGGGAATAAACTGAAATTATGGTCTATGTATGGTTGCAGTAACTTAAATTACCGTGAAAACTGGTGAATATTATTTTCTTATCAAAATGAATAATCACACCAAGTTTAAAGAAATTTCAATCAAAAAAATTCAAAATTCCACATCATCACGGTACCACAAAAGCATGTCTTCCATACAAAAATGAAATGTTTTGTGGATTTTTGTATGAAAAGTCTGTGAAAAATTGATTGCATCTTAAAACTAACATCAGATTCGGGTTTCTCGTGCCAAAAAACCCCCACTACACATTCTTTCAGCGTTCAAATTGAAAGAATATAATTTTAAGGCATTTTTCTCATAAGTGCTTCTTCAGAGTCTATGTTTTACACCGATCAATCAATGTCGTTGAAAATTTGACCAGATCTATTCCTCGTAATGCCCAATCATCCCGTAAAGTCAGATTTTGAATTTCATGTCTGAGCACGAAACCATCGTGTCACCAAAATGGTTGAAAAATTTATGGATGTGGAGTGGGTACTCCATTCGGACCAAAAAAAATTACAACGGTCAACAGATATTGCTCAAAAACTAATCAGCACGTCTCCTAGTAGTCCCAAATCATCCTGCAAAGTCAGAATTTGAATTGAGTTTTTGGAAGAAGATTTATCGAGTTAACAAATTTTGGCAACACGCCACAGGACACAGGACACAGGACACATCACACACAGCGACGCACATTAATATGCCCCAAAATCATCTCCAATCGTGTTTTCTACATTAAATATGCATAGAAAACATGTTTTGTGGTGACTTTAATTTTTTGGCCTAATACAATACCTTTCCTACACATGGTGTGCGGAGCCATGCCTATTACTTTTCCGCACACGAAGCGAAGGAAGATGTTTTTAAATACAGATTAATTGTTGTAATTCATACAAAATAAAACATCAAATCTATGTAGAAAAATACGCTTTGTTTCGCTCTGATAAGTAACTATTTATATTCTGTTTTTATTCTCGAGAATTCATCTGAACAGTTCTCGTTTGTTCAAGTTCGTTCGAAATAAAAAAAATCTGTTCATGTTCATTCACGTTTAGTTCAAATTATTCAAAATATGTAAACATGCCGTTCATATTCGGTTCATATTCGGTTCAAATTCGAATGAACCGAACGAACATGAACGGTTCAGTTCAGTGGGCACCTCTAAGCGTGTTGAAGAAGGTATGTCGTATACACTTCATGAAAAGAAATATCTGTTCATAGTTTTTTTTTTAAACATTATTGTTTAATTTTAAATTGATCTTTTTCATTGAATTCAGTTGGGCATAGCTGAGATGTTTGATGCAAAAAGTGCAAATTTGACGGATCTCTTAGAGTCCAAGGAGCAACTTTATGTGTCGGATGCCATTCACAAAGCCATCATCGAAGTAGGTGAAGAAGAATCAAAAGCCGCTGCCGCTTGTATGATTGGTATGTGTTTTACTCGATTTTACTTCAAGAACAAAAGGTTTTTGATTATAATTAGGAAGATTTTATTAAAGGTTGTGTTTGAAATTACTTTTTTATCTCCCTTAACTCATTTTTCCATTTTTTTTTTTAGTTAAGAGGGTTATTAAACGGTCTAAAAAAGTTGAAGTTATCATACCTTTCCATGTAGATCATCCGTTTCTGTTCCAGATTATGGACAGAGAATCCAATACAATCATCTTTAGTGGTCGTGGTGAAAATCTTAAAATGTAAACACATTTTTTCGACACCAATATAGGATTTACTTAATTGAATCGAAGATTTGCATGAAATTACATTTATTTACAATATATAATCTACAATAGCAATGTGCAAAGGGCGTTGAATTGATCATTTTTATTGATTCAACAAGATCAAACTCCCCAGAAAATGTGTGAAAATGTGATGCGCAGTAGCTGCTCCATCAGTTCCATCAATTGCTTCTCCTTCTATTTTTTAACCAACACCGAATTTTGTTCTAGATGATTTATTACTATGCAACAGGTTGAAATATACACCGCTCTTACAATCCTACTTTTCAATAAACATTTACTGTCGAGTCGACCGACAATATTATATGCATACCTTATATCAAAAAGATTCTGTCGAATAAGAAATATGCATAAACTTCATTATAATTATTGATCAGAAAATAAAAATCAGAGTTTTGTCTCTTTGGCATGATGAAAATAACGCAAACTAAATGGCAATCTCTTTTGAAATAATCATTTTTTCAAGTGACGCTTGTTTCTGCCGAAAACTTTTAAGGTGGATGTATTAGAGCCTAACACACGTTCATCAATTACATACACAGTTGATTGTGTTGGTATTAGATAAAAACCGGTAACTTTATATGTGGTTGTGTAAGAGTGCAGCGAGCTTCAGAACAGCTGAAGATGATGCGTGAGTTGTTCATGTATAAAGTAATCTGAATCAGTATAGAATATAGTCGCCGTTTGTATGTATTGCCGTACAATGTTTGTTATTCTGTCGAAAGAAATCAACGAAACGATTCTATTCATACGCCACATCTTTTCGAAGGTCTATAATATGTACAATAAATGCTCCATTTCCAATGAATATGAAAAATTCATAGATTTTTTTTTATTCATTTGAAATAGAGTTAAGTATAAGAAAGGATATAGATTCCAGCCAATTAGATTAGGATTAATATGCCCGAGTACCTCTAATAAAATACTTGAGAGTTACACGTTTGTGAAATTAATTATCAATCGCATAGGTCAAGTTGCCTCTCGTTTGCTCAAATTAAATTGCAAACAACATCAATACGCATTTTTATTTTCGGCTTCTTTGCAATTATCATTCTACTTCTTTCGTTAAATTTTGTATTTGTTTATATTCGCCGAATATTCTACATGTTGATACATATGTATAGTACACCAACAATTCTCAGAACTGTTATTTGATGGGGAATTCCAAAAAATGTGCGCAGTAACTGCATTATGAAACTTGTTGTTCTTTATGCCCCTTCTTCGCTTTTAAACGCAGACTTTTCTATTCATTACTGTGAAAGAAGCCGGACGATACGCAGCTTGAATAAATTCTTTTCGCTCTCCAATAAGTTTTAGTTGAAAATGGCATCGCAAGTAAAACGAGTAAAACTGGACGATTTCACCGAAGGAATTTCTGAATTTGCATTTAATTTCTATCAGGTAATTCATTGTAGCAAATAAGAGACATAAACATCAGACATTGCATAAAAATATTTATCAGCTCACAAGTATGACTAAAAGTATAAAATATTCGTGATTAAGCGACAGTGTTTGAAAATATTCAACGGTGAAAACAAACGGTAAAGTATGAGCAACAGTGACAGCTGTTATAATCTCTTTTCAACACATTCATTCATACATATATCCATGTGTGATGTGCGAAACTTACTTGTTTTTATTTTGTGTACGAATGAAACAAAGAAGAATAGCAAATTGCGTGTTGTGATTCACATTTTTAATTTTTTTGCAACAACAAGAAAAACAAGTTTATCCGATGTTGTAACGTATAGCGAAAGGCAATAATAAGAAAGAAGTAAGATATACACAGATCACACGATGTAGTTTGAGATAGAGCGCAAACAAAATTTTGCACTCTGTTAAAAGAGATCATAGCCGCTATGAGTCTCTGTGTGTTGAAGAATATAAAAACGTAAATAAATTGATTATTTTCACCGACATCCCTTGTGAAAAAAAAATGACTGACTGACTATAAATTAAGTCAATTTTAATCACTTTTATTCGGTTAAAATTACCAATAGATGATTGAAATCGAATATAGTTGGTTATGTTTCAGAGTTAACTAGAAGTGATTATAGTCAACATAGTTGACAAAAGTCAATTTCATATACTTATAGTTAACCTATGATCACAATCGACATTTCTCAACTCAAATTACACGGAGATGCATATAGTCACTTATAGTTAACTTTAGCTGGCTGAGATATCAGCCATTTTTGTCCCAAATTAGTCAATTTTTAGTCGACTATGAAGTCGAAATATTTCCACAAGGGGTTGAATCACATTTGAAAAGTGAAATACTCTCAACCTATCGCAAATGACATAAAATACACTGTTCTTCTAAAAATGTTTACGTACCAAATAAAAAATTATTTTCGTCATGGTTTGTGTTTGTATTCATATTGATAGGAATGCGCCAAGTTGAAGACTGGAAATTTGATTATTTCACCATTATCTGTGGCAAGTGCACTCACTCTGCTTTCGCAAGGAACCAATGGTAAAACATACAACGAGATAAAAAAAGCTTTGCATCTAAATCCCGACAAAGTGATTGCTGCCAACAACTTTTCGGAATACTAC